AGTGATGTGGAGCATTTTTTCATATATTTATTCACTTCTTTAATTTCATCCTCTGAGAAGTGTGTGTTCATTTCAGATGCCCATTTCTGGACTGGGTCTTTAATTTTTGGGGCCCTAGTGTTTTTTAGTTCTTTCTAAATTCTAGAGAGCAGACCTTTGTCTGAGTACTTATTTGTCATGATTTTTTCCAAATTTGTGGGTTGTCTTGTCACCTTGTGGGTAATTTCTTTTGATGTGAAAAAACTTCTCAGTAAGAGCAGGTCCCAGTTATTAATTCTTTCAACTGTTTCCTGTGCAATTTGATTTCTGTTCATGAACTCTTTGCCTACCCCTATGTCTTCAGGAGTTCACAGCTATGAATTTCCCTCTGAGGACTGCTTTCATTGTATCCCATAAATTCCAGTAAGTTGTGCTTGAATTTTCATTGAAGTGTAGTTATTGTTGAATTTCTGGTTTAATTTCATCTGTGACCCATTGCTTGCTGAGTAGGAGGTCGTTTAATTTCCATATATTAAGGGTTTTTTTGTCATTTATTTCCAGTTTCATTGCACTGTGGTCAGATAATATGCACGGGATAATTTCTGTCTTCTTGCATAGACTTAAGCATGACCTTCGGACCAGCATGTGGTCTATTTTAGAAAATGAGCCATGTGCAGCCAAGAAAAATGTGTATTCAGCTGTGTTTGGATGGAATACTCTGTCTATGTCCACTAAGTCCATTTGTTTCAAGCTCTGCTTCAGTTCTGTTGTTTCTTTACTAATTTTTGTCTGGTTGACCTATCTTTTTGACATAAGGGGGTGTTAAGGTCTCCTGTTAAGATTGTGGTATTGGATATTAGATTTTTCTGTCAAAATTAGATTTGCTTTACATAGTTGGGTGCTTCCGTGTATGGCGCATTCATATTTATCAGTGTTACCTCTTCCTCTTGAATTTTTCCCCTAACCAGGATATAGTGCCCTTCTTTATTTCACTTGATCATTCTTGGTTTGAAGTTGAGACTGTCTGAGAATAGGGCTGCTATCCCTGCTTTTTTCTGAGATGCTGGGGCGTGTAATAATGTATTCCATCCTTTGACTTTCAGCCTATGAATGTCTTTATGAGTTAAGTGTGTTTCTTGTATACAGCATATTGTTGGATTTTGTTTCCTAATCCACTGTGCCAGTCTATTTCTCTTAATTGGTGAACTGAGTCCATTTACACTGATGGTTAGAATTGAGATGCATTGACTTATGATTGACATGTTATTTACCTGTTATCGTTTACTCCTTTTTCTCCTGTGTTTAACTGTTTGCCCTATTTAGTTGGTTGCTTCTGATCTCATTCATGGAGTTATCATTTTGGTCCCTCTCTAGAACGTCTTTCAGGAGCCTGTGTAGGGTTGGCTTTGTCATCATGAAATTCTTTAGTTGTTCTTTGTCATGGAAGTATTTCACTTCTCCATCAAACTTGAAAGAGAATTTTGCAGTATATAGTACTCTGGGCTGGATTTTTTTTTTTTCAGAGGACTTGTACTCTGCTCCATGC